ACCAACTGGAGTCAAGAATTTAGTTGTTTGCACAGAGATTGAAACCCAGGTTGAAATTTTTCAGAAGCTCCCAGTTGGAGCCACGAATACCGATGTTCCATGTGGTTTCTTTCTTATGATGGGAACACACACCGTAGCCCCTGCAACAGCCTCTCCTAGCGGTAGCTTAATCTGATTGACAATCAGCACACAAAGAGGGGTGAGGGATCACACTGCTAACAAGCCTCTTGCCCTCCAGTCTCTGGAAGAATGTTGACTGACAGGGACACAATTAAAAGGGGATGGATTTATTGAGCTGGAATGCTCTGGTCCCCCTAATCTCAGCGTCTCTCTGCTTGCAATCACTGTTCCCAAACAAGAGTCAGCCTACACAAACGAAACCCTCGTGATCGCCAGGGAGTCAAAGGCGCTCTTAGTTTACCAAAGGTAGCTCAGCCCTAGAAGCCCATAAAAAGAAAAACCACATAAAAGAAGTCCTTTCCTGCACCAGGGCCTGGATAAGGATCTGGAATGCAGCAGGGAAGGATGATCTAAACAAAAAAGCAAGCAATGGTAACGAAAACTGCTAACCTTGGCTCCAAGGTGAGGCGGGGCGGGGGGGGGGGGGGGGAGTTGGTTGAGAAGGGTAAATGGGCAAGGTCTTTGGGTCTTTTCTATAATGAAACTGTAAATTTCTGTTGGAAGTCACAGGATCATCGAATCTCTGGAATGTTGATGGGGGTGCCGGTGGGATTCCAGGGAAGAAAAAAGTCTATAGATTTGAATTCAATGCTTCCTTTGAACTGTTTTGTTGGACTGGTGGGGCCAAATCTCGGCTACGTATATGCACATAATTACTTATAATTATTGGGATTTGAGGGACACCCCATAATTAGCACCTCTCTTTTTCACCAGTTATGGACTGATGAAGAAGGAAAACAAAAGACTTGGAGACAGAACTAGGCTACCATCTTCGTTACTGATTAAGTGTAAAATGTAGCTTGTATGTGTGGATTGGTGCATTGTTTGCTACTGAGTCCTCAACCTCACCTTCCTCGGTCATTGAGCTCTGGACGGTCCCTTGTGAAATGTCCTGTACAGAAGGCCATGAGGAACATGTTCTCTGCAGACAGGCTCACTCCCAACAGTGAAAAGAGAGAAAAGAAAGGAGCTGGGGTGTCAGGTGTCTGATTTCTCTTTCCAAACTCACCAGAATAAAAATATCACTTTCTCCTCCTGGAGGGTCAGTGAATGAGGGGACAGAGAGAAAAAGAGGGAAGTAGGATCTTTCCTACATGGAAAGAATCATCGTTAGTGAGGAAGAAACACTCCCAACTCCTACATGAATGAAATAATTAACAGAAAGAATAATAATAATAATTATTATTATGACAAAAGTTACCGTTTACTAAGCATTTACCCTCTTCAGGCTTTGGGCAGAATACTTTGTCTCATCTAATCCTTACAACGACTCATTGAGATATTTTTTTATTATCTCCCTGCAACAGAGGAGAGAACAGAGACGGAGAGGTGGTGTGACTGTCCAAGGGCACAGAGCTAGCAAGGAGAACTGTGGGAAAATCCAGTTTTACCTGGCTCTGGAGCCTGAAATCTGAAGCAGGGTCTGCTCTGTATGTAGAATGAATGAAGGGAATGAAGGAATGAATGAAGGAGATGAAATTTGAGGGAAACAGGTTGACAAGCTTGGCCAGCATGGAACAATCCGTGAGGTGCTCTAGATCCAGCAGTCTTCCTCCTAACTCAGGTGGGGTTGGCCCTATGACTTTTCACCTGGATGTTCTGCCCGGCCAGTCCAGGAAGTGCCCGGCAGGTGAGCTCTGCAGCCAGTCCTGGTGTCCCAGGGACCCCATGTCAGGGTGTGCTGGGCAGAGAGCCCCAGATGTCTGCTTGTCCACTTGGCCATGGTCCTCCCCTTCACTTGGTCTTCGATTTTATTCTAGATTGCCAGCGGCTCTGCTCCCACTGGCCTTCCTGATGGCCAGGGCCTCCACACCACCGACCAGAGGAGCAGGTGGACAAATTCCCACCCCTCAAAGGGAGAGAGGTCACTCATCTCTGCCCAAGTAGAAATCCCACTGGCTGGGGCTGACATTCAACCTCCCCTCTCCTGGTGGGAATTTGGCCACCACATCTGGCCACCACATTTCCAGATATGCCCCTCACCACTGGGTATTGCCAGAAACAGAGCCCCTGATACCTCGTTTTCCCCACGAGTTCTTCACACCTTGAGATTTATCTTTAATCCTTGGAGCAGCCATAGCCCTCTATCAGCACATCTTTCCCTCCAGGAGAGGACCAGGGATCTGTTTCCTGCTCATCAGCCTGGCTACCTCATTCGCTGTCACGCCAGTCCTGGCATTGGCTTCTGTTATCTTAATCTCTTTCTTTGGAAACTTCTGTCACTTCCAATTTTCCCCAGTTTTCTCCCTCTACCTCAGCCTTCCCCCCTCCCCCCGGACCCCCCTTGCCTTCTCAGCTTTCTTTCCAAAGATGTTGTATTTCTTTTTCTCCTTATTTGGTCCAATGTGACCTGACAGGGTGGCTGAAGCAGCATATTGGGGATAGAAATATGTACTGGTTCTCCACAGATTTTTTTTTTTTCTTTCCGAATGGGGCATTTGCAATCAATTTATGTAGTTTAGCCAAAAGGTTAAGAATTTTCCATTTAAAAATCAACCTCCCTAAATGAAAATTTTTTGGTGCTTTTTACTTTTTTTTCCCCTCGTAGTCAGGTCTCCACATGCCCCATGCATAGAGCCTGTTCTGGAGAGGGCTTCCTGAGGAATGCCTGTCAAGGGTGTACCATTTCTACTCAAGCCTTAGGAATGCTGATTTCATGGACAGTGGGGAGATCGTGGTTCTTTTGTCTTTGTCTTTTTTCGGATTCTCTCTCAGAGGAGGGATGTCAAAATGAGGTGCTGCTGATGGTGTTGCAGATGGGGATGAAGGTAGGATAGTGTCAGGTCCGGGGTTCATTTGGACTCGAACCCCTCCACGATAGGTCTCTATGGAAATAAATGTTTACAGAACAAAACAAGGCAAAGCAACCCTGAATTGTTTGCTGAGACCCCGACTCTAAACCCAGTTGCAAACCTTAGTAGATCCAGGTGCTACCCCATAGAGATTTCCTTTTCTTAGGCTAGGTGGTCCCAAGGAGGCTGGAGTGGGTGCCGTTCCTATTCCCACCCAGATCCCTGTTCCCAGGCTGGTGCCTCCATACTCCACTGGATCTGGGAGTCACCTGCTGAGATTCTGACATGAGAATTCCTATCGGGTAAAACCTGTGTGTTGAAAATATGTCTTGGTACCTTCTCTTCAGCAGCAGATGCTGAGCCTGGGAGGGCTGAGGTGAATAGGACACTTTATATAATACGAGGACAGGACTGTGGTTGTAGCAGAGGGAATGCGGAAGGGCAACCAGAGTGTGGCAGAAAACAGTGTTTCCTCTCCCTGGGATTTTCCAAATCTTCACTCAAGATGAAATTCTAGAGGCAAGAGGCATTTCTGTGGAACTGGGCAGGGTGCTCTCTCATGGACCCATGGCATCCTGGGTGACCCAGGAGTGGGTGGGCCAAAGTAGCAGAAAGAGCTTACCTATCAGCAACTTGCAGAAATTGTAGGGAGAGTTTGGTACCCGTGAAAGGCATGGAGGGTTGTTTCTGGCTACCTCAAGGCCATTTTTTTTTTTTTTTTTTTATGAGGTGACTTAGTGGGGCCTAGATGTTTCTGGGATAAGTTTCTTATGCTGTTTGAGAGAATCTTGGGGGTAGAGCCCTAAAATGCTTCTTTTTGGAGTCTTTAATTCAGTGATGACACACAATGGTTGATTTAAATTGAGATCCGCAGAGGAGTAGGTACTATTGACCATGTTGTTTGTCACACTTGGAATGACATAGTATGCTTTTTCTTCCATTTTTACACTTGATCTTCACATGTGCTGTGGAAGATAAACTTTGATAAGCTTGTAGACAGATAAAGAAACACGGGCTCAGGGAAGGTGAGTGACTTCCCGAAGATCACAGGGCCAGAAAGTGGCAGAGCTGGGACTTGAACCAGAGCTCCTGGCTCCAAACCCAGTGTTCACTTCGTCTCCCACACCAGGAACCCCCATGCACTCTTACAACTCATCAGGGTGAACTGGGTGAACCTGGGAAGCTAGGTTACAGAGGTTTCTATATTAACTTCTGAAGGAACATTATATATTTTGAGAGTATGAACTGGTGCCAGGATCCACTCCTGTGTTTCTGAAATTATCCTCATGAAATGTTTGGGTCACACACAGATAGCTACGAATCACCAGGCTTCCGAAAGCAATTCCAGGATCCCAAAGCTTGGAACCATCAGAAACCATCAATCACCTGGACCACCAAACCAGAGCATGCCAGTCTCTCTGAAATTGGAAGGTTTCTTATACGGGTGTCCACCCCACTGGGAAGATGGCCATTGTTGGTGGTGGGGTGTAATCTGCAATTTGTCACCTTCACCACTGTCAGGCGCTGATCCCTGTAGCGCATCCCGCAGGGGATACGTGAGATTTCCTCCCAGTGACAAATGAGGAAATGAGGCTTAGGTTAAATTCCCTGCCCAAGTTCCCACAGCTAGCAATGGCGAGATGTGGAATACAAACCCACGTTCTTAATCCAAATGCTGCATTCTCAGGCACGATGTTCTCGTGCCTCCAAGTAGACATTTGCTGATTGAATGGGGTTGAACAGCAACACAGGAGCAAGTGTGGCTAAGTGCCAAATGGCTAGTGCAGTGGGAACTTCTGCAGCAGTTGAGAAAGAGTAGACTGTCTCTAGAAGCTATTGGTGCCACTATGGGGCTGTCAGGTGGGTCAAGCAAGCAGCTGCTGGTGGGGGAGGTCTTTCTGGGCAGCCTAAGAGGAAGAGACCTCATAGAAAAACCAAGCCAGAAATGGCCACTCCGTCACCAGCCCCGTCTTAGGTCATATTTCAAAGACTGGCTCAGGGCCACCGGCTGGGGCGCGCGACTGTGAGATCATGGCTGAGCAATCTGACTCTGAAAAATATAAGGACCAACTTGGGAGTTTTATCACATTTCTGCCGCCCAGGCATGAAGTCAGCTGGACTGCGCGTGACAGGGAGCGATCCTCTTGTAATTAGCCGGGGTGTTTTTCTTTCATGTTCTGCCTAAATTCGGTGTGCTGCGAGCGCGTCCGCTCCCTCCGAGCTGCCCCACAGCAGTAGCGGAGGTGAGTCATGGCCATAAAATTTGGAAAGCTCGTGGGGGGATGGGGGTGGTGGTGGAGAAATATAAATTATTGTTATCATCTTTCAGGCGCAGTTGAGTTAATTATTGCACTTGGGCCAGCTGCATCGGGCCTCCGCTAACTGGAGCCAGAAATGAGGCTTTTAGTGGAAAGGAATAGATGCTCTGCTGGGGTGGAGGCCCTAGAAGCCCCTTTGCTCTTTTGGGGGAGAACGGGGCACGTTAAATTCCCAGCACCGCCGCTCACCAGCTGGGACCTGTGTGGATTTGCTCCAAGACACTTGGGTGTGAGCACGGTCACGTTTTCTTTATTTTTTCTAGAGCAAGGAAGTCTGGCTTGGTTCTGCACCTGCCAGGGCTGCCGGGAAACCCGATTTTAGTTATGTCTTTTTTGGAGGAGTGGTGGTGAGGAATATAAGGAAGCCCTGGGAATTTCTAGCGATGGGTCCACTATGGAGAAAATCCTTGCTCATGGTCCACGAGCACCATTTTGAAGGAAGCCTCCCAACTCCCTCCCTCCCAAGCCTGGTCAGTTGTGGGGGGGGGGGGGTCTCATGTTTTCCTCACATTTTCCCTAGCACACCCCTCAGTCACCACTCCTCCCATCCAGTGCTGCAGATCTCCACCCTCAGAGGCTCTCAAACCACTGCCCTTCCCCCACCTCAGGGGAGACACAGAGCACCTCATGCTGAGCCACCTCCCCTCTGTCTTCTTCAGGCACTGAAATTAGCTCATCTCTTTAAGCCTTTTTTCAAACAAAACAAACAAACAAACAAACAAACAGGGAAATTATTTTAGATTTTCCCCTTGGCTATTTGCTCAGAAAAGGAGAAAAATGACCTTTTAATTCTTTGAGTCTCATCTAGCAAGAACAAGATACAGCCACTTCTCCATGAGTTTGTCATTGTCCGGTGCCTCCATCTTGAGCCTCTCTGAGGCTCAGTTTCTCCTTTAAAGATAGACAGCCCTTTCCAGCGGGGATGTCATAGGTCAGGTGACCTATGACATGTGTCAGGCACTTGGTGTAAGCCTCACTCAGAGTCAGCTTCCAAAGCATGGCTGTTGGTAGAGAACAGTGGGCTCTGGGACGATGCCTGTGGCCTCCCCACCCCTGAGGACAGGGCTGGAGTCTGCTTATCTCAGCAACTGGCCTTAACAACTGGGTCAGTGCCAGGTACTCAGCAGGCATCCAAACCTGTTTGGTTAACTGAACGGTTGTAAAAGGCAAGGATTTAGGAGCAGCTGAGAGAACCAAGCTTCCTTGAGCGACACCGACCAACTGGCCTTCATGTCGTATGTGCATAGTATACACACATGTGCATTGTGGGCATGCGCAGTGGGTGATGGAGTGATAACAAGACATAATGCCTCAAGGAGAACTGAATATTTGATCTTCTCACTGTGGTTACCAAACTTTTAACTGTAATGGATAAGGAGACTGTACTCATTTTGGGCATATGCTATTTTTTTTTTTTTTTTTTACAGAAGTATGTTTTCTCATTGCCTAATTTTTCCTAAGGCTAGTTTCTGGGGGCTTTCCCTCCCAGCTATCCTTGGCTTCAGTGGGGTTTATAAGCATCCTGGGTCATTGAGAAAAGGGGGGGTATGTTTCAAGAAAACTTTGATGGGGCTCAGATAAATCTCAAGTCATAGGCAGGTGACTTTCTTCTGGATGACCAATGGACAATGTGCAGGAACCACAGGAACATAAATAGCTAAGGTGGCTCCTCTGTCCAGTTGATGTCAGATGCTTACCTACATGGTGGCCTTTGGTCTGCAGGCCTGGCTGGAGTCCCTACAGGCACAGGCAGAGACCCTGATGCCTTCCCCCTTTCTCTCTACCTGATCTGCTTTGTCCTTTTCATTTCTGTGCTCCCCCTGGCCCGCCCACTGTCATGCCCCTCCTTGGATCCAGTGGTCTTCTACCAAGCCAAGTGACCCTCACCTAGGGGTAGGCTTGCCTTTACTCCTATTTTCTTCCCAGGTTTTTGACTATAGCTTATACTCTGCATTCTTCCTCCCTCAGACCTTCCTTTCTGGATCGGTGAATTACTGATATTTCATTTAATCTGAACAATAAACTGAGGCTGGCCCTGTGTCTGAGAATCCCCTGGAGTTTCTAGATCTCTTCTTTCTGCTCCTATCTGTGCCTTTCTTCTTGGAAGGTTGTGCCCTCCATTTCCAGTGGAGAAAGAATCCCAGGGGCCCCCAGGAGAGGCTGGGCTGGAATACTTAGGTGGTGGAAACTCTAGGAAATTTCTGGAGGAGGGAACCTCCTGAGGCCTCCAACCCTTTGCTTAGCTTTCTCAAAATCTCAGCAGCTGATCTAAGGGACATGGCTTCTAACCATCACTATTGTGAAGTCTCCTCACTCAGGGCCACGTTATGATGTCTGTGAGTCTCTCACATTCTTGTTTTGTTGAGCATCTTCCTTCATAAAAACATATGAAAACAATGTAATGGATTTTCAAGGACCCTAAGTATTTCATTTTTTTTCTGATGTAAGAAAAAAAATTAAAACAGTTTATTCAATCTTAAAAGTTCAGATATTTTTCCTTTGAATTTTAAAAAATAAAAAACATTTTTCTTGGTCCCTGAAGGTATGGTGGGCCCAGACACTGTGCCTACCTGTGCGATGGAGAAGTCAGCCCTGTCCTCACAGATTAAGAGTAGGCATCAGAACACCAGCCGGAACGTGCATGGGGGGGTTTGATGATTTCTTGGTGCCTATATCTAGATGCAGCTTCACATAGTTGAGACCAAGGTGACTGTAGTAGAGTAGCAAAAGCAGGAGCTGGGGCAGCCTGGACTGAACAGACCCTGTGGAAGTCCTGTCCTGTGGTTCCCCAGCCCCACCCAGCTTGTACAACTCAGAGCATTTGCATCCACAGTTCCCTCCCTTCATCACTCACTTGGTCTTTGAGGAGTCATTTCTCCAGTCAGGACGTGTGAGCATGTATGCTGGGAGACTTCCATGGCACATTTTGGAACTTTGTGCTTTTTTTTTTTTTCCCCTTAGGATGAACCATGTGAAAGTGCCAGTTTTGTGAGTCACCATTGTGTATGGTTCAACCTGGTACCTGTCAGTTATCCAGTCTCGTGTGCCGATGTCACTGTCACCGTGTAACTTCCTCGTGCATAGAGACTGTGATTTGAACGTGGCTGTGTCTCCAGCAGCTAGCTCACCATCTTTTAAGTGTTTCTGGAATGAATGGACAATTCAACCCAAAGGGAAGATCGCCCCTATTGTACACACTTTGCTCTGCTTGTGGAGCAAAGGTTCTTAAACTTGAATGGGCATCAGAATTTTCTGTGGGACTTGTTAAAACACAGATCACTGGGCCCCATCCCAGAGTTTCTGATTCTGGAGGCCTGATAACTAGCATTTCTAACAAGTTCCTAGGTGAAACTGGTCCTGGAAATCATGAAGCTGGTCCTGGACACCACTGTTTTAGATTAAAAGTTCTTTCCTGGGGATGGGAGGAAGATTAGTCATAAGTATTAAAAAAAATCCCCCCTGTACTAGGTTGAATAGTGCCCCATCCCAAACTCACGTCCACCCAGAAATTGTGAATGTGACGTTATTTGGAATGAGGTCTTTGCGGAAGTGATCAAGTTGAGGTCATATTAGATTCGGTGGATCCTAAATCCGTTATGCGTAGTATCCTTATAAGAAGCAAAAACTTAGACCCACAGACATAGAGCCCCACAGGGGAGAATGCCATATGAAGATGGAGACAGAAAGTGGAGGGACACATCTACCAGCTCAGGAGTACCAAGGATTGCCCACAACCACCAGGAGCTAGCAGATAAGCAGAGGACAGATTCTCCATCAGAACCCCCAGAAGGAACCAGATGGGAGGGATGAAGATTCCTCACATCACTCCATGTTGGAGCTGGATGGATTCATTCACCCAACAGTCTTTCAAAGAAAGTGCTGAGCCCTGCACCTACAGTGTGCACTGCTGGGGCCAGAGGAGTATTCAGAAGACACTATTGGAATTTGGGCCAAGTTTCAGCCTCTCAGGCCTCCTGTGGTCTAGCCAGCATGGCTGTGACCATGGCAATGCGTAGGCCAGGCAGAGGGCAGGTGGGGCTTGCAGTGGCTTGATAACTCCTGGAACATGGCCTGTGCCTTGTCTGGTGTGAGGTCAGGGTGTTGAGAGGCAGGCAGATAGGTGGGGGAACTTTCTACCACACTGACCCAGGCTGTCCTCACAGAGGTCTGCTTCTTATAAAGCCCATGTGTGTGTGTGTGAGGCCTCTGACAGATGTAATGGGGGCCTTTGCTTGTTGAGTTTGCTCCACTGGCCAGCACGGCCAGTGAGGGGGGCAAGTCCTCCTGCACCCCCTTCTTCCCATCTCTGTGAGGTTAGAGCTAGAATTGGAAGTCTTGGGGGAGGCACACCTCTGGTCCCAAGGGAAGGAGGGGGTGGTGAGTTTGGAACTTTCCAGCTGTCCTCCAGGGTCTGGCCATAATGGTCAGGCAAACTACAACTGTGTTTACCAACGTGAGGGAGACAGGGAACCGATCATGTGCTCTGTCTCATGCTATCTAAGAGACAAGCTCCTCAAAAGTAGCACCAGCCCCAACTTCCACCTTGTCAAGGGTGACAGCAATCTTTGTGCAGTAGCATCAAGATACAAGAGAAGCAAGGGATTTAAGGCTAAGTATCCTGAATTTAATTAGATTCTGTTTCCACTAACTGCTACTTCTTTGACCTTGGACAAAGCTCTTAACCTCTCAGGGCCTCAGTTTCCTCACAGCATAAGCCCAGGTGGAAACTGGGACCACCCTGTCAGTGAAATAGTAGAAAAGGAGGCTTAAAGCTCTACCGTGTCCTTCCATGGCCCCACAAAATCTCCTGAATGTCTGAATTCTGGACCCAGCTTCCTCACATGCTGACTCTGTTCTGTTCCACATTAACCAACATGAAGTTGGATCCCTTCCGAGAATTAAAAAAAAAACCCCTTACAAAGTAGCAACAATAAGATTGGTAGAATCGACCAAAATGTCTTGCTTTTTTGTCTTTTGTTTTGGGTTTGGTCTTTGTTTTTTCATGGAAAAGAGAGATGAAGGGTAGCCACAGCAGAATTTGATCAACTTCCAAAATGGTAGTTGGCCTCAGATTGCCTCTAAGATGACCTTCAGCCACCCACCACACCACGAGGGCCTCCCAGGCTCTTTGCTTCCCCCAGACCTAGTCCTTCTCTCTCTGTTGTCTTCCCTCTCTTTTCTCTAGTTACTCCTCTCTTCACTCATTCCCTTTTCTCATACCCAAGGTCAAGATGCTCTCCCTTCTCTTTTGTTGGGGGTCAACACCTCTGCCTTCAAGACTCTCACCTACGTCAAGCATCTCAAAGCATTTTTTTTCCACAAAAGAGCATTACATTTCCAAGTAAAATTTGTGTACTTGATGTTAAGAGTAATAATTCACCCAGTCACATGCAGATTACATGAGATAACATAAATGAAAGTATTTTTGAAATGCAAGGTATCGTACAAACTCATTCCTCCATCCATCCATTTCTGTGACAAACATTTGTGAAGCCTTTGGTAGGTGCTGGAGATGCCTTCAAGGGTTTCACAATCTAATGAGATGCTAGAAAATAACTGTAATGAAGTGTAACAAATGCCATAATTGTGCAACATCTCATGTGTAATGGCACAATAAAAAAGGGAGTGATTCATGTTACTGTGGATAATGTAGAATATATGATGTGATAGGATATGATACAATATACTTCTATTATAATACAATAGAATATAACAGACAAGGCAAGCTCAAAGTGCTCTTCTGAGCATTTTGGAGATGAGCTTCCTGTTTGATCCAGTGCCTGTAATTTTATTGACAACTATCTGTACCTCCTCTCCCTGTCTGTAGATTCAGATCTGTGCTCAAGGTTTGCAGGTTAACCTGCAAGGGACAGGTCATTTGACCTCTTAGAGCCTCAGTCTTCTCATCTGTCAGATCGGTACAAAAATTCCTCACAGGCTTGCCATAGAGACTGAAAGAGATGCATTAACTTGTTTGTTGAACAAACAGTTCTTGAGCAACTCCTATGTCCTGGACACTGATATGGGCACTGGGGTTTTTTTTTATAGGGAATGAGACAGTGCATGGGTTCTTGTTCTCTCAGAGTAAACATCCTGTTGGGGAGATAAGATAATTATTGGTGTGCAGCCCTGTTAATTGGCACCTGGAAGCTATGTAACACCTTTGCTGCAGCCTTTCCTTTCAGATTGTCTTCATTTTTCAATCCCCTGCACCTTGCCTCAAAGTTCTGTTGCCTTGGAGTCTTTCAGATAGAGGCTGCATAAAGGAAGTCCTGGGAGTCTGGGAGGAGGAGGCAGTCTCTGCTCACGGGCTTGCAGGCTGAGTTGGAGAGTGTTTTAGTTCAGGCTGTTATAATACATAGAATGGGTGCTTAAACAGCACACATTTGTTTCTCACAGTTCTGGGGCTGAGAAGTCCAAGATGGAGGTGCTGGCAGGTTTGGTGTCTGGTGATGGAGGACCTGCCATTGTGCCCTCACATGGCTGAGGGAGAGACCATCTCTCTCACTTTCCTTCTCATGAGGGTACTAATCCTATTCGTGAAGCTCCACCCTCATGACCTAATAAGCTCTCAAAGATCTCACTTCCGAATACCATCACAATGGGGGCTAGGTTTTAACATATGAGTTTGGGGAGGGTGCACAGTCAACCCATCACAAGGAGAAAGAGTGGGAGCAAATTGAAGTACTTAAACCAATAAGCACATATCTCTTTCTCTTGGCTTCCGTCTGCCAAGGGCACTGGGGAGAAGCCCAACTTTTTAATGACTTCTCTTCTTTGGTTTAGGATTTATTACAAATGTGTTTCCTCTGTTTCTCCTATAATCATGTCATTGAGTGGCCCAGAGATAAATGTCAACAACACAGCTCTTAAGGAGTCCTGGTGGCGGGAGAGTGAGGGAGCTGAGTAGGGGGCTGGCAGGCTCATCAGAGGACACATTTATTAAACTGTGGAAGGGATGGGGTAAGCCATCCAAGCCCTGGGTCTGGCAGAGTTTGCAACCAAGTGGTAGGGAACAGAGCACTTTTTGTATCTCAGGAAAGCTTCTCTTCAGCCATTGGGCTGGTTTTCCCTGGCACTTTTGTCAAGCTTGGGCTTTTCAGTTTTGACATTTGTTTTTCCTTTTGGACTTTTCTTCTCATTACAAATAGATGCTGTGAATTCAAGCCTTGGGAAAGAGAGTTGGGTTTTAGGCATGGAGCACTGATAATATATGGCACCTGGGAAAGGAATCCGGTGCCGAGGACTTGCAGAGGCAAGACCTGAGGCTTGGTGGGAAAATGGCGTGGGCCTATGATGTGGACAGGTCAACCATTTAGGAATGGGACTGGGTTTTTTGATTGCCAAGCAGGGCTACCATTCACCTCCAAAGGGCTCTGCTCACAGAGATACAAATAGACGTGCTCTAGGTTGACAGGGGTCAACTCCCTTCTTTCCATCCCCCTTTCTCTCTGAGCCTTCCTGGTTTTAAGTGGTGGGACTAAGTGCCAATTTCCTTAAGTACTAGGATTGGATCCAAGGAATGCACTCTTGGGGCTAGGGGAGTTTGTGAAGAATTCTGCTGTGGAGACATACATTAGGGAGCCAGAACACCAGAACTTTCACTGCCAGGTTGGAAGAGGAACTCTGTTCCAAAGGGCCCTGGGTGGGGTCTCTTCTTAGGATTAGGTGGGGAAACTTGGGGGAGACCTTGCTACTGTGCCTTGAGGATGTTTTTATTTACCTTTCCTATCTCCTTCTTCTCTTTCTCACTCCTTTCTTCTCATTGCCTCTTCCAGCAACATGCTAGTGTTAGGGTTTCCCATGTGCCAGTGTTGGGGTTACAATGATGATAAGGATGGGAGTTGGAGTAAGGCTCAGGTGTGTGAACTTCATCATTCTCTCATCTGTGGGGCTTGGCTTGCCCACGGAGAGATCGGAACTCCCCAGGGACAAGCACTGGATGGAAACAAAATACTGCTCTAGTAATAGTTGGGCAAATACCTCCCCATACCCCTTTCCTCTGTCAACTACCCCCATCCCTGCTGTTATTGCAGAGCTCTCTGGAGAGTTGTGCTGGGTACCA